TGTGTATCTATGTGTGTGTTTGTGTCTGTTGGCGTAAATGTGTTTGTGTGTGTGTGTCTGCGTTTGTTTCTGTAGGTGTGTATGTCTGTATGTATGTATGTATGTATGTATGTATGTATGTATGTATGTATGTATGTATGTATGTATGTATGTATGTATGTATGTATGTATGTATGTATGCATGCATGCATGCATGCATGCATGCATGCATGCATGCATGCATGTATGTATGTATGTATGTATGTATGTATGTATGTATGTATGTATGTATGTATGTATGTATGTATGTATGTATGTATGTATGTATGTATGTATGTATGTATGTATGTATGTATGTATGTATGTATGTATGTATGTATGTATGTATGTATGTATGTATGTATGTATGTATGTATGTATGTATGTATGTATGTATGTATGTATGTATGTATGTATGTATGTATGTATGTATGTATGTATGTATGTATGTATGTATGTATGTATGTATGTATGTATGTATGTATGTATGTATGTATGTATGTATGTATGTATGTATGTATGTATGTATGTATGTATGTATGTATGTATGTATGTATGTATGTATGTATGTATGTATGTATGTATGTATGTATGTATGTATGTATGTATGTATGTATGTATGTATGTATGTATGTATGTATGTATGTATGTATGTATGTATGTATGTATGTATGTATGTATGTATGTATGTATGTATGTGTATGGAATGTGTGTTTATGTAGGTAAGTATGTGGTTGAATGGGTGTGTGTTTATGTGTGTGTGTGTGAATGTATGTAGGTGTATGTGGGCGTGTATATATGAGTGTTTAAGTGAGCGGGTGGGCGCGTCTGCGTGCGTGCATGCATTTTAACACCCATGCTTTATGGGGTTGTTTTTGTGTGTGTGTGTAACATTCATAATATGCATATTTTTATATGAATATAACATGTTTATTGATAAGATAAGAAGAAACTCCGCAGGGGAGCATGTACAGCAGGAGTCTACCAATCATCATTAGAAGTAATCTGTCGTCGACAAATGTTTCGGCCCACGAGCTCCTAGACATTTTCAGAGAGTGGGCCCACCTGAGTTCATGAAGCTCAGGGTTGATTTTCTCCTGCTGCACGTATTACCGGATGTTCTCGGACAGGGACAAGACGACATTGGTGACATTGCAAACGGTTCTGTGAGATACTGTATTTACATAGTCGCTGCGGTAGCATAATTAAAGCGGTCTGCATACCTGGACGACCAAGTGGCAAGCTTACGATTGGTTTATCGGGCACATGTTAGACTTTGTTGGCAGATTGCAGAAGGACACTGGCAGACAATTCGGGCACGATAGACTTTAAGGGATATGATTTTCTTTTCCGCTAGACACTTGGACCAGCTCACCGAGGACTATCCCCCACGACGTTCCGTTGTGTCCAGAGCCAGCTCGAGGCCCTCTCAGCAACCTCGTCCGGTTGTTTTAGTGCTCGTTTGCGCTCATTTCCCTGCAAGCCTAGTTGTTTAATCACATTGCACAATGAAGTGAAAACGAGATCTCTTGCGCCTACCTCGACGGCGAAGATTCTTACCGTGTACGCTTGGTCTCTCCTCAGACCAGCCGCTGGTCACTGTACTCGAACTTGTACATGTGGCTTTCGTCCATTCGCGACTCATACGGCACGGTCAGCTCGATCGGGATGAGATGACGTTTCTCCGCAGAGTGTAGGACTATGTCGGGTCGCAGGCCAGTCTTCCGGATTAACTCAGGGTACTTTTCATGACCAGGTAGGTCAATCGCCAGTAACCAGTCCCTCACACAGTCAAGCATCGATGGAGCGTATGCGACTTTGTTGAATTTACCTTTATAAATCTGCCCAGCCTTAAGGACGTGCACGGGGACGACGGTAGGACTGGCCCTCGCATTGGCCCTCATCCTAGCTTGGTCCACAACGTCCGCACCTTGTTGTGGCGCTAAGTGTACATGCCCTGACCTAGGGCTTTTCTGCACGCGGACAATACGTGCTCGAGCGTCTGTTTAGCTCTAAATACAACTGCTGTGTGAAAGACAGGTTTTTGGAAGGACCGAATGCAATACGGGCCCGCGTGCCCAATTTGTTACCCTTTGAAAAAAAAAGTTTGTTCGTTCGTTTGTGGCAATCATCGCTTCAGAGGTCCTGGGTAGTTAGCATCCTTTTGGTTATTTTCACCAGGTGATGCTAGTGTGTTGAGAAACGAGTAGGCAGATAGACTGGCCGGTTTTGCACCACTTGGTGATGAACTGATGTATGACAAGCTGAATGTTGTGAGGGCCCTTTAGGAGCGAGTGAACAGTGCGGAGGCAGAAATAGATCATTACGGCTTATTTTGTCTGACGTCATTTAAAGTTATATGAAGTGAAGTCGTTGGACTGGTATATAAAATAAAACGCCTTAAGCCAAGAACTCAGGCTAATTATTGGTGTGTGTGTGTGTGTGTTGGGGGGGGGGGGGGGGTGAGCTCGATTGAATTCGATTTATTTTTATTTCAAATAGGGGTGAGATTATTTTGTTCCTTAGCTTTTGAACTTTGATCTAGTTCTAGAACTTGTGTTTTGCGTGCACATCCGTTTTACAGATCTAGATTTTTATGTAAGCAAATTGTTGGTTCCGGTAAATGCACTCCACATTCGCAGGAAACACCCATGAAATGCTTTTAAGACAAGCTTGAAAGAAGGCAGTGAGTCTATTCTTTTCTCCCTAAAATAGAGCCCCAGAATCCACATTTGGAAGACGGGGGCTTCACCGTGAAATATGTTCTGAAGTTACGCTAGTTATTTCTTGACATTTGCTGTAACAGTCCCTGTTGCCCCTGGGAGCTCGAATAGGTAGAGAGTGAATTCAGATCGTCATAGACCATCCTCACTGCACACATACAATTTAGTCCATAAACTCCCCATATCTCTTTCAGGACGACATTTTTCTGGGGTTTGGACGGCATTCATTTTCCTGCAAAGCGACAAAGCTAAAACCTTCCTGAAGAAAATGTATTGGCTGTATCGGGACATATAATATATCAAATTAAAGATAAATGAGTGCAGAGTAAATCTAAACTTTCTAAATATCAGTATAACAGTTTTAAAATAAAATAAAATCACACAACAATTAAGGATGTTAGACACATATGAAAATTATTGACATAAGTATTTTTGTGCTTACATTATTTGTCACTTGTTCAACAACACTGCTATTCAATTCCAAGAATACACATGCCTTTTCTGTTCAATTATTTGTTAGGTAGTCTTTATTTGAAACAATTTATTTAAATACTTTAGGTGTTATGATCATTTTTGTATGACATGTCAATTTTCACAACAACCGAAAATCGGAAAAACAGCTGATCGAAACATTGATCTGATTGAAATATTTTGTGAAATTTTCATATTCTAAACTAAATTATCGCTAATAGATTTGTCACTTAGATATCAATCATAATATCAAGACTGTTGTCACCATCTGGCAGAGATTCATCAACGATAGAGCAGTATGAACAGTTCTTATCATTTAGTATAGAAAAAATCACCTAAAAATTGTATCCCATCTAAATATCTAAATAATTTTTCTTAAATCAGAAAATAATGCACCGACCACGATGCACGTTGCAAACGAAAGGACTTCCTGTTGTTAATCCTAATTGTTCGAAAACTTATTCATAAAAGTTCGCTTTCCCTACAAACGGAACATAATTAGAGTGTCTCTATCATGATCCAGTATATTGGCTATACGGGATAGATTTAATCGCCAGTATACTGGCTAAACGTCCGTAAAGAGTTTTAAGGATTGGGGAATGACCAATCATGACGTATCGTTAGCCTGGAATGGTGACGTCACGTCAAGCTGACGCCAACATCCCCATGGCCTATCTAAAGTAGGTTATGGTTGGGGCTCCATGGAGGGTGTCGACTCACTGCACCTAAAAAAGCATCCCGTAAAAGGCAACTAATTAGGGTTTTGTTGAAGTGGGTATGTTCGGCAGAAATGCGCAGATATTGTAGCCTAGCTGTACTCCCACTTTCCAAATGACTTTTTGAATGGACAAACGCAGAAGAAAAAGAAAAAGGCACATATACCATTCTATCCATAAGTACCACGTCCCTTTAGTTTATCGCTCAGCATTTGGTTTACTATTTTTCATTGGTGCTATGTAATGCTCTTGTCTGGCTTTATTCAATTTGACGTAGTGTTATTGTAGTTCGGGCAAGTGTGCTGATTCACAATCATCCGTCGATCTCTCTAACCACTTGAGGTATATCAGCGCGGTTTGATGCTCATTCGCTTTCCAAACTAAACGTGTCAGCAAACCTATCGTCTTGCTTATTTACCGTTACATTTACTTTTTCTAGCACACGATTGAAACAAATTCTTCTGACCCATTCAGCTTCCAACAGTCTTCGAGTCCAGCTAATCTAGATCTTCTTTTAAGCAAACTTGGTTGAGTCACTGCCCATGGGAAGTTCAATGTCTCTAGTCAGGTCATTTCTCTAGTTACTATCAATCTTTCTTTCTTTCTTTCTTTCTTTCTTTCTTTCTTTCTTTCTTTCTTTCTTTCTTTCTTTTTCTTTCTTTCTTTCTTTCTTTCTTTCTTTCTTTCTTTCTTTCTTTCTTTCTTTCTTTCTTTCTTTCTTTCTTTCTTTCTTTCTTTTGAATCTATTGTAAATTTAAACCTAATGAAATGGGGAAACAGTTTGGAAAGTAGGATGGACTAAAGTACAGTACACGTAACAAAGATAATGCGCAATAAACCAGACGGAGGTGTGTTGACTTACTGTGTTGTACAGGTAGAAATAGTAGGGTCAGATACTCTAAAAATATAACACAGCATCTAGGTTTTCAATTTTTTAAAGCAGTTTTTCCAGTGTTTGAACAGGTTTTGCGGTTATATTTGGCAGGGACGGCACTTTTCGTTTGTATGCCATCCGTCGACTGCTAGCCCTGCCTGGGTAGACACAAGTGTTTATCTGATCGTCACTGTCAAGATGGCGAACGGGATGCCCAGATCTGGGGCCTTTGAGGTGTATATCCGTCAGCAGTGGTGCCCTGTCAGCGTCACTTTAAACGAAGAATCCGTCACTTTGACGTTGACAGAAAACCCTGATCAGGCCAATGGTAATGGTACACATGGGCCGCCTGTAGATGCAGGACACGGTCTAGTCAATGGTAGTGCCGACTTGCCCGAGTCGATTACGGGTCAGAAACGTTATGTGAAGGTAACGTTGTTTTTCTGCTGGTTAATAGTATATTTTGCGGCTTTCCTCAACATAATTGGACCTAAATTGCGACTTGTTGATAGGTAAACATTGTAGGGACTCTAAGTATGTACGCTGATGGCTATACAAATATATTTGCACTCACCATAGTAACCAAAAGTAGCAGTAGCAGACAAACTTTGGAAGTTGGATGATGCACGCACACAGAGGTTTTGACCAACTTTGGATTGTTAGGCTTTGAGGTTTTTGCTTCAGATCGTCAGATGTTAATCACTGTCTGGAGGTTTGTGTTTTAACATGGGCACCGGGTAGAACAATCTGTCTCAGTAAGTTAAATCAAGTATTATAATTAAAGTGAATGCTTTATTTTTATATCAGAGAGAGAGAGAGAGAGAGAGAGAGAGAGAGAGAGTGAGAGAGGTAAATATTTTTCATTTTTGAACTTGGTTAAGTCATGGATATTTTGATATTGCAGTTCTCCATGCCTCTCTTTGTCACTTTTTCTCCCATATCCTAATGAAACTGTGAGGTACTCTCCAATAAATATTAGCTATTATGTACATCATCACACTTTTTGAGTCTGCTTTATTTTTATCTCCTTGAGGGGGAGAGAGAGAGGTAGAGAGAGAGAGAGGCTGTGTTTTAATATATATATATTTTTTAATTTGATTATGGTATTGGTGCTCTCTTCCTCTTATATATATATATATATATATATATATATATATATATATATATATATATATATATATATATATATATATATATATATATATATATAAATATATATATATAAAACAGGAGAAGGAGCGAAAGCGGGTCTCTGGCGCTTTTATTAGACGCTTCAGGTAGATGAGGCTTGTACCAGTACGGGAGTGCAGCTCATCTAGGAGAAGGAAAACTCTGACTACACACCTCCACTGCCTTGTGGCCATACCCATTTTTGAGTAAACCCTGAGGAAAAATCCGGAGCTGGAATCCCTAAGGCGGTTTAGCATTGTATACAGTGCTATTCCGGCAATTCCTCGGTGCCAAGTTGTACTGGTTTTTGCCTTTCCCTTGGTTTCACCGGCGACGTAGAGAGGGGGTACTTGCTGCCTGGGCAATAGTCTGTATTCCAAATCAAAACGCCCTGGCCTGTGCCCTGGAGAGGTCACTCCAGCGATAACAGTTTCGACACAACACGGGAAACAGCAGTCACCGGTTATAAGCCTTTGCTCAATTGGCGTAGAGCTAGGCGCCAGGGGTTGTTTCCGACAGTGGGAGAGACCATCGTAGTCTCATTGGACAGCTACCGCCCGCCTCAGCTGGGCAGCCCCCAGTCAGTAAGGTGTTGTCCCGCCACGATCCGTTTGCCTTGTTGGGTGCACAGGGCTTAGGGGATAACCCGACATATGGATTGTAATCCATGTACCTACACAAAGAAACCAAAAAATCAGATTCCCAGCTCTAAAGTTGCCCTACAGGAAACCCGGCTCTCCTCCTCAGGTAGCATCAAAAAGAAGGACTTCACATTCTTCTGGCAGGGAAAACCATCTTCGGAGTCCATGGTACAAGGCGTAGGCTTTGCGATTAGGAACCGATTGCTTGGAACTGCCACACCACCTACAGGAGGATCAGAAGGGATCCTTAAAATTCAGGTCCAGACAAGAGCTGGACCAGTCACTCTGATAAGTGCCTATGCATCAACCCTGCCCTCTTCTCCCGACTCTAAGGACAAATTTTACGAGGAACTCAGTTTCACACTCAGCGAAGTCCCGGACAGGGAAGCCCTTTTCATTTTGGGTGACTTTAATGCAACAGTGGGCGCTGAGCACAGCTCATGGCCATCCTGTATGGGACACTTTCGTGTAGGAGAAATGAATGAAAATGGACAGAGGCTGCTTGAGCTATTCTGTCTTCACAACCTCTGCATCACAAATACCTTTTTTGATCTGAAGCCCCAGCACAAGGTCTCTTGCAGACATCCCAGATCTAAGCACTGGCACCAGCTTGACATCATCCTCACTAAACGCAGTCACCTTCATCTTGTTAAGGTCACTTGCAGCTATCACAGTGCAGATTGTGACACAGATCACTCCCTTGTGTGCAGCAAAGTGAAGTTAATCCCAAGCAGAATCCATCGGGCAAAGAGGCCAGGACGGCCCCGCATTGACACAGGAGAAAGTCGTAATCCTGGAAAAGTAGGAGAATTTATAAAAATCCTGAGCACAGCTCTGCCCGGCCCACCAAACGCGGATGCTAGTGACAGATGGAAACATCTAAAATACGTCCTATATGATTCTGCCATGTTCGGTAAGAGGCAAGTTAAATCACTGGACTGGTTTGAGGAACACAAGGAAGAAATGTTGCCAATAATAGAGGAGAAGAACAAGGCTTTATTGGGATATAAAATCCAGCCTAATAACAGAAATCTGCAAGTGCTCAGGTCCATTCAGTCTAGAGTCCAGAAAACTGCACGGCGCTGCGCTAATGATTACTGGATCAAGCTTTGTGAGAGGATACAAACCTCAGCAGCTACTGGCAACATAAGGGGAATGTATGCTGACATCAAGAAGGCTATTGGGCCAGTAAAAAAAAAGATTGCCCCTCTCAAATCAACCACGGGCGAAATCATAAAGGATCAGACAAAGCAGCTGGACCGATGGGTGGAGCACTACTCAGAGCTATATGCTACAAGCACTTTTGTATGTGAAGAGGCCTTAAATGCAATGGAGTGTCTGCCAACCATAGGTGAACTAGACAGGGAACCCTCCGTCACAGAAATTGGTGAGGCAGTAGATAGGCTTCCTTCAGGGAAGGCCCCAGGAGAGGATGGTATCCCACCTGAGATCCTTAAATGCTCCAAAGATGCTATTCTTCCTGAGCTACACAAGATCCTCTGTCAGTGTTGGCAAGAAAAATCGGTGCCACAGGATATGAGAGATGCCAACATTATAACTCTCAAATAAAAATAAGGGAGATAGAAGCGACTGCAACAACTATCGCGGTATCTCTCTATTGAATTATGTGGGAAAAGTCTTTGCTCGTGTTATCCTAAAGAGGTTGCAAATTCTAGCGGACAGAGTATACCCGGAGTCACAGTGTGGGTTTAGGGCCCAGAGATCAACAGTTGATATGATCTTCTCCATCTGGCAGCTACAAGAGAAGTGCAGAGAGCAACAGAGGCCACTGCTCATTGCTTTCATAGATCTCACTGCTTTCATAGATCTCACTAAGGCCTTTGACTATGTCAGCAGAGATGGTCTATTTGGGATCCTTGAAAAATATGGATGCATACCTATACTACTGAGCCTAATCAAATCCTTTCATGAGAATATGAGGGGGACCATAATATATGAGGATTCATCATCTCGACCCTTCCAGATTCGAAATGGAGTAAAGCAAGGATGTGTTCTGGCTCCCACGCTGTTTGGCATCTTTTTTACCGCATTATTGAGGCGTGCATTTGGGACAGCAACTGAGGGGATATACCTCCGTTCGAGGTCAGATGGCAATCTTTTTAGTTTGTCCAGGCTACGTGCAAGGACGAAGGTGCACACGAGATGCCTCAGGGATTTTCTGTTTGCGGATGATGCAGCCATTGTAGCACATTCAGAGGATGGTCTGCAGATCCTGATGAATCGCTTTGCAAATGCTTGCAAAGAATTTGGGTTTACCATCAGGCTGAACAAAACACAAGTGATGGTATTGAATGTTGGAAATCCACCAAACATAAGTGTGTATGACCATCAGCTGCTGGCTGTAAATGAGTCTGAGTACCTAGGCTCACATATCTCAGGCAATCATTCTCTGGATGCAGAACTAAACAAACGTATAGGAAAGGCCTCTGCTATGTTTGCAAATCTCACAAAGAGAGTCTGGTCAAACAAAAAGCTAACTGATAATACAAAAATGAAGGTTTATGAGTCTTGTGTCCTGAGCACATTACTGTACGCTGCGAATCCTGGACTCTCTATGCTCCACAGGAAAAAAGACTGAATACCTTCCATATGCGCTGACTGAGACGCATCCTTGGTATATGTGTCCTCACAAGAGCAAAAATACCATCAATGTATTGTATACTGAAGCAAAGACGTCTGCGCTGGCTGGGACATGTCTCCCGCATGGAGGATGGTCGTATTCGAAAAGATCTCCTATATGGTGAATTGGTAACTGGGAATAGACCTACAGGAAGGCCAAAGCTGCGCTATAAAGATGTATGCAAACGTGACCTAATAGATACCAACATAGGCACAGAGACATGGGAAAAATCAGCTGCAGATCGACTACTATGGAGACAGAAAGTGAAAGACGGACTGTCACATTTTGAAAGAAACCGAACACAACGAGCTGTGGAGAGGAGACACTGGAGAGTAAAACTGCCTCACAATGAGGGAGTATCTGCTTTTGTGTGTATCCTGTGTGGCAAAGGCTGCCATTCCCGCATCAGACTTTACAGTCACAGCAGATGCTGTTCCCAAAGCCAGCGGCACATCTCCATAGTCCCCCGGGACTGACGGATGCCATTAGGATATATATATATGAAGATAGGAAAACATAAAGTGTGTGTCAGCTATATAGAAGTATTTACAATAAGCAGATGAAGGATGTTGCAGCTATTAGCCTTCATCAGCAGAATTATGATGAGAAACAAAACAGATCACAAAAAGGAACTGACCCTGATGCTGCTATATTATAGTGTTTAAATATTTTATTTGTACAACAATCATAGCCAGATAATAATTCAAGATAATGCTCGCTCGGAGGATTTGATCATTTACACAGACGGTTCAGTGTCAAGAGGCAAAAGAAGTGCTTTGGGCTTCTTAGCAAAAGTTAATGGTCGACGTTTGGTTCAGGAGAGCCTAGCATATGATACCACAATATTCAGCTTAAGAATGGAGGTGGAGGCGGTCACTGCAGCTTTCCGCTGGCTAGAGAACACGACACACACACACACATCGTGATTGTAACTGGTTAAGAAAGCATGCTGAGGAAGATCAGAACAGGTATGCTTC